TGAAATTCTTCTTCCTTATTTTTCTATACAGGATAGAAGTACTCCGAGGTGATTCAAATTTCGATTTTGTTGAATGATAATATTAAACAAGCAGAGTACTTGTACTTATTCCAGTTTTGTCTCCGTATACTTGAATTTGAATGCGTTTGACTTATAAGCAGACTGAACTCAATAATCACCGGCCGACATAAATTGGGGAACCACTGAAAACCAGGGACCACTAGGCAGCTGTTTCGCCCTAGTATAGGACTCCTCAGCAGTAAGTATATCAGTCGATGATGAATACTACCCCCAAATTAAAATCCCTGTTCATCTCAAAAAGCATTATGTTACTAACTTTATTCGTGACACACACACACACACACACACACAAAAGACTTCATCGAGTGTTTTGTTCATTATTCTTAGTGTTAGAAACTGAAAAACAATCCACGAAAAATAGCTACAAGGAAACTTCATACCTTTTTGAAGACTTGTAATAAAATGTCAATTGTAAAAAGTCGGTAACCCATATCTGCATTATTATTATTATATCCGTGGGCTTAATCTTAGCAACAACAAAGTATGCTAACCGATAAACTACACTGTTTAATATACAGACATATTTACAGAACCTTAAGAAAAATCATTGTGAATAAAATTTGTAACCGCATACTTCCATTTCATCTCAAATTCCTCCTCTATTCGCAAAATGAAAGAAATTTTAGATTCGCATCAGTAAATAATTATCTTCAACTCATACTTTAGATTAGCTTATCTGAATTGTTTTGTGAGCATGAAAAGCTTGAATTCCCTCAAAATTATAATGAATTTATCTTTGTTCATCAGAAACAATCTAAGAATATGTGATAATACATGTATAAGACATCAATTTTAAAATTAGAAAGAAGACAAGTTAATTGACAGACTGGTAAATGTACAAGTGTCGTAAGGCTAATTTCGAATGTATAATTGCATACCAAATAAAATATCAGTAAAATGGCTTATTCATGGTTCAACTAACCACTGCGGATAACGCGACTCAACTAAGATCATCCACCTGAGCTACAAATATTCTCCACCATATGGTGACATATACATATATATTTATAGCACCTACATATGTATTGTCTTAAATCCATCTCTGTTTCTACTCCATATAAATGAGCTACTCGTTAAGATTAGATCTTTACTTTTTCAAGTTTAAACGTTAAATCAAGATCTATACAGCCATTAACAGTGATGAGTGTGGGCTGCTTTTACATTAAGATCTAAATACTTTAGTAGATTGATCTGGAAAGTGATCGCTAGAAATTAACACCATCATAAATACAGCCGAACAAACCACCCATAACGACCAGAACTATTGCTTGCTCGGCTATATGCTTCTGTACAAAGTAAATTAATAAAAAAGCTTATAGGTTATGGTCAAATATGACTTATAGAAGTCAGCTTGCTATTTGGTAGAAGCTGCCAATGGTTTCATAGTATTGTGATCTCCTCGAAAAGACGTTATAGAGCTTCTGCGAGAATAATTTTCGAATTTAACACCAGGTGTATTTGAGAATTTATTTAGAACACAGGATCCAAGCAGAAAAACCTTAATACGTTAGATGAGATCTGGAACATAAGATCTATGATAATTAAATAGCTCTGCAACCTCTCCTAAGAAAATTGACTGGATTGATTAGGTCTCTTATGACTTTATGAACTTATGATGAAAGGTAATCGAATGTTTGAACGTGTCATCTTCATTAATGATTTACGGGTTGATTTGTCATATTGATTCCTCCCTTCTAGAACCATTTACCTGAGAAAACATCATTATCAATTACACGCACTATTACAGAATCATCTACGTCTGTAAATCCATTTCTACCAGAGGATTGTAAATCTCAAAAACAATTTATGAAAACAAATAATCTGTCATTGATAATTTTGAAGTGAGACTGAAACTTTATAGTCGTGCCAATTGTGAGAAAGAATATGTATCACTAGACTGTTATTTTTATTCTTAAAGTCAGTAGCGACTGCGGAATATGAAAGTCAAATATATTTACCTTGTTTCCACGGGGTCTAAAAGGTTACCGCGGGTTGTTTACTCTTAACTCCTAACATACTTAGATATTTTGAATCTCTCTGCATTACTACAATGAATGGCTTAATTTTCCTATTGACCCGATATGTAAACTTTCCTTGTTGGTTGCTGTAATCTTTCCATTTCGCAAAACAAAATAAAAAATCAGGCGAAGCTTGAATGCAGTGAGATAAACATCCCTTATGGTAGGTTACAGTTATATCAAAATCCAGTGTATATTGCAGGCTATATTCTTCTCGTCTGAAAATATCTTCTGTTCAGAAGTTTTAAAAGTTATCTTTAAACACAGCAGCCCTCTTATCAACGTAAAACTTCGACGTTTATAATTCATGTTCGGGAAAAGAAATTTGTGTATACCTCTATGCGCATTACTGTTTATTTTAATTTTAAAAAAGTCAAGCTATTTCAGGTCACGAATAATGAGAACCCATGTACTGTTGTGAATCCTCGTAATCGATGGTATGTTTTCATCTATGAGCTACCTATTTTCGTCATGATCACCATTTGTACGTCAAAGAGCTCTTTCTATCACATAAACGATAGTTTTTAACTATAACACTGAATCGGAAGCTAATCCGACATCAGCTGACTGTTCCACATCAATGCCTTCACTCGGATGGAGCTATCATTTCGCCAGAATATATCCTTCTGGTGACGAACCTGTTAAAGTGTTACATGCTGAGTATTCCGTGCTGTCTGAAACATATTCTTTGGAATAAAGCGACTATATCATTATTATTATTATCAGTCCTGAATCTTTTTAAAAGGTTTCCGTTTCCATGCTTTTTACACAACTCAAGGTATGTTAACTGCATTTACATTTGATGAGACCATTATTTCCATAAGGCCATAAGGGCTACTCACTACATTCAGGCGCATACTCAGCATTCTGAAAAGTCATTGAGCACTAAAGAATCACAGTTTATAAGATGATTTAGAATAAAAGATTATTTTATTTTCTTCTGTGAAAAAGTGATATATATATATATATATATATATATATATATATATATATATATACGCTTCATTTGACAAGCGATTTTAGAAAGTTCATTTTTTCTCATATTTACCAAACTTCAAGCTGTGAACAGAATTAGAACGGTGATAATTTGAGCATAAGTACTACAGTAAAACCTAGTTTAAAGGTAAAGTGAGTTTATTATAAGCATTAGATACAGTTAAGCTTGTTAAGATAACTAAATATAATAATCGTTTTGATTTCAAAATCATCAAAGACAGTAGTTTAGTAGGAGGTTTGCAGGGATTTATTAATTTCGTCACGCATATCCGAGGAAAATGTCTAAACTGTGAGCACTGAACAGCTGTTTTGTTCTAGTATGGAACTCTAGGTTGGAAGGGAAGTGGATCCCAACTAACAGTCGTACTATATCACGAATTGACAGAAGTATGGAACTGTGAACCCAAATGGCATGTAAGGATTATGAGATCAAGTGAATAGGTCAAAGCAGCCTATCAGGGTCAGTTGGAGTAGCAGAGCAAAGACATTTAGTGGAACACAATGATAGAACCTACTAAGATAAGTAATTTAGAGGAAAATTTGGCTTTCATTCTGCATGCAGTGACCCATAATCCCATTATTAGGTGGGTGGAGGGAGAGATTGATTACAAAATTCCTGTTCATTGAATCAACACCTAACGCATGCAGAAGGAATGACTCATCTTATATTGCAGATGCCTGGACACTTTTACCATCATGAAAGCAAAAGAATGGAGAACTGTTGGACTACATAAATATGTCAAGATCGTATGATTACTCGATTTGAATATGAGTAATATGTCCTGCTACAAACGTAGTCCATTAAATTAAGCTGTATCACTGTGTGCTATATCAAATAAAAAACCTAATATGGAAGTGCAAATGTGGACCATTTAATTCCAACCCAGTAGCTGGAGGGGTAATGCGCTCACCGACAGACAAAGTCGTGAGTTCGAACCCTGGCGTAGTCATTGGTGTACACTGCCTGAGTCTCATACTAGGACAGAACAACTGTCCAGTGCTCTCATGTATTTTAACAGTTCTCCAAATTACCTCACTCTGAGATAATTACCACCTTAAAAGATGGTAGTGATTATTATGAGTAGAATTGCATAAATTTACCCAGTAATTTTCACTATATTGTCAGATATAAACATGATGCTACAAAAAAGACAAAGAAAATGCAGTGTATATTTAGTCTTCCTGATATATTAGTTGATGAGGTTAAACTAGATTCTGTCCAAAGTTAGTCATTCACATAATGATTCAGTTAGACTATACTTTCTCTGAACAGAATATTATTTTTTAAAGAATGAAAAAGCTTTCATACACTGTATAGTGTAGTGGGCGTTGCTGATCAAAGTGGATATAAGTAACGTATGTTGAGTTGACGGCATAAATCATAGGGAATTACCCGCAGTGGGTAAAGGTTCTGCCCAGAGAAATCCAAGAGATAATGTGGGCATATTAATCAAAAATCAAAATAGAAGCAGAAGAGGAAATGAAGCACATTGTGAAAATGACTGTCTTAGTGCAAGGTGCATCATATTTGATTACTACTGTACAAAATGTCAATGATAAACATTCCTTCCTTAATGGTGATTTAGTTGGTTGTGGCTAGTAGAAAAATCCAGGACACGCATTTCGTCCTATTTGGAAGTCTTCAGCTGGACGTAACTACACCAACTAGATCACCACAATTGACATCTAGGCAATGTCAAGGCATTCGTACAGGAGCCCATATGCCAACAGAGGTCGGACAATCCTACCCAATAAAACGTCGGGGGATTACAAATAAATCAATAAATAGTAATTCCATTCTTCGTCTCTGTCTTCTCGTCTCCTGCAATGGTATGTTTGTTTCCAATAAAACTGCAAATAACATGTTTTCGTTTTCTCTTTTTTAATTGTTTTTTTATTGTGTAGTTTTATTACTGGCTCGTATGATCGTACATGTAAAGTTTGGGAAACTAATACTGGGAATGAAGTGCATACTCTAGAAGGACACAGAAATGTAGTTTATGCAATCGCATTTAATTTACCTTTCTCTGGTAAGCTGAATGTTTATATATATAAAATAGAAATGAATTCATTAACATCTCAAAATTGGTTTATGCCTATTGAAAACATTTCCTTCTGGGTTCAAATTTATAATGAATAGTAAATTTGAAATTAAATAAAATTCAACAGCAGTATGATCAATTTGTAAATGATTTACAAATTTCATACTCCATGTTGACATTTCTAACAGCTGAGTAGATTTCCAACTACCACCCAACAGAGATTTCAACAAGGTTTTCCTTGGAAATTATACATCAACCAAGATCACCGTGTATGATCTCTGATGAAAGTCTTATGAACTAGCTAAATATACTACTACTGACTGAACAATTTGAGTATTTAGAAAGCTTTAAGGTTGGAATGTAGATTTCATCTGCCATATCAGATTAATCTAAGTACCAGATGGGCATTTTACTCTTTTGGGGCTAAGCTCATCAGCAGTGTAGCCACACCACTTCCAAACCATTTACAAGTCAATCATTCTATTTAAGGTATACTGACCTATACAAGTTAGCTGGTCAAATTCCTGGTGATATGATCAGTTTGGCTCTGTTAGCTAAATTTATTTGAGTACACCGCTAATGAACTCGGTTCCAAACGAGTGAAACAGCAGTAAGATGTTTAGATCACTCTGATCTGCCTGGTGAAACCAACAGATTAGCCTGAGTAGTTTATATCTACTCAAGTTTTTCAGTAGTATTTTCAAAGTTCAAAACATTGGTAAATCTTGGTATACTTCCTCATTTGAATATTTGAAATACTTTAATATATACAATGTAATGTGATGTAATTCAAGAATACACACATAATACAGACCATTACATGTGTTGAGGAGTAACAACATAAAAATGAAGATTTTGACAAGCTAAGGGGAAGCTGGAAAGCCCCAGTGAAAGTGTTAGAATTGTTGTTGAGATTATTAAGATTAGATAGGAACCAATCATTAAGAATGAAGCAGTCAGCCTCTAGATAGGGAGCTGGATAACAGCATAGGAATAAAGCTTCAGTTAACTTTTTGAGGTATTATAATGGTGGGATGTTTACCCATCAAATGAAGCACTCTAAAAGAGAACAGACAAGGAAAAAATACTCTAGATAGTGTTAGAATATATCAACATTTTCTTCACTATGTACTGTACATAACCACCATTTCCTTCTGCGCGCAGGCTTGAAAGACAGAAGCTTCTACAGTCGTAAACGTTTTCTCATTCCACTTTTTGATGCCCTACATTAAAGCCCTGGTTGTATTACTGTAGTAACAGCAGTCTAGTAAATGTTTTATCATAAGACGCCTTAAAAATGTTATCTCTACAAACCCAATGGATTAAGATAAATATTTAATTTCTCTAGAAGCCGGAATTATCTTTTAGCTTCCTAAAATAAGTTCTAGTTAGTTTATACCGTTTGTAATGTTGAGGAATGATTTTTGTAACACACAGTTAATGGTTCTAAGAAAGATGAATCTTGTAGTAAAGTTAGTTCATTCTATGGGCTTACCAAGTTTCCGCTTAATTGATTCGTTAATGGCAAGTTTAAAAACTTTATTCTGTAGTGGATTATCAACAGCTTAATAGTTTCTCCAAGTTTTTAAGATCCGAAGAACTATTGTTTTCTACAAACATACATAAACACTTATGATGTATTAGCGCTATACATTTCGAACAATCTGATCACACATGGACTTGTCTAACTATTTATATGAAAATCTACGAAAAGGTCAATGAAGTTAATGGGAAACATAGGAATAGGAAGGGATAGAAAAAAAAAGGAAAACCTTGGTATGAAAATTAAAATCAATTCTATCAAGGTAGGTTCAACGTGAGTACGAATTGTTTTTGTATACATAAAGGCGGTTTAAATTTACGGATGGCAAGAGCTTCAATAAATTTAAGCACTCGGCTCTGACCACTTTTATGTAGTACTTTAAAGGCTGTTTTTATGTCTATCCTATGGTTAGTTTCTAGTATATGTTTAGCGATAGACGAAGATGGATGTTTGTCACCTGCACTTATCGGATCTGTTGAGGTCATTTGTTTTTGTAGTCACTTAGGTACATGTTCAACCTTCCTTAACTGCATATCACGATTACTCCTCCCTATATATGTGTGTCCACACATACATGTAAATTGATAAACACAGTGGGATGTGATGTAATCGTTTATATGTTATTTCGGTTTGTTTCAGATAATCTTCGTCTTCTCATTACGCTGTTTAAATTTATCAAAGGGACCAGTTGCTTTAAATACATAAACACTGTAAGATCTCGCACAAACATTCTTCTATTCATGTTGCCAAACTTCACAATGACAAAAGATAAAATAAATGAAAAGGAATAATGGTAATGAGGGCAAATACATTTAAGATCTCAATAAAGATACTAGGTGAATGTATCTTCACCACTGCTACTGCTTTTCAGTCATATCATTCTAAAGCTTCTAGAAGGGTTAACATGAATAGAGATATACCTTAAAACATGAAAATAAATCATCTTTATCACAGACTAACATTAATTGGGAGAAAACCTGGGAATCTTTCATCTTAACCCAGTAAAAAGATTTGTCATGAGTTCCAGGATAAGCAAAGAACAAAATTTACCTAAACAATACACTTATCATAGTCTAAAATAACCAAGTTACTTTCTTCAGACTTCAAAACATCCTGCTTTCCTACACCGGAATATTAATAAAGATTCACAAATTTATATCCACTTCATTTTTTGATCACCAACTATCAAAATTTTAGCTATTTGAGTTGCAGTGAAAGTGCCTCTGACTGCAGAACTGAGTGATGTTTATCTCAGTCTCTCAGTGGACATCAGTTCCCTTGAGGTTGCAGATACATGTTGCTGATGAGTGCTAACAAGCAAAAAACTAAGGCAGATTGCCTCCAGCTTATATTGGATACCAAAAGCATGTAGAATCAAGGTCATGAAGTCTTGGTGAAAGAGTGTAGGTACTGCACTTTTTGAAACCCTTCTCTTCGATAGGTGGAATTTTGGTTAGGAATTGAGTTTTTTTATGAATAACTTTTTCTATGAATAGTGAATGTATATGAATAGCAAAAATGTGCATAAAAGGTGTTAAGAAGAGCAAGAGAGAAAACTTTCTCTCTTTGCGACATATCAACCGAAAGTCTGTTTTCCTATTGTTAGTGTTTCTTCAGGTTCAAACGTATTACACAGTGTGTTGAATTCCACACTGTTATTCATAACATAACTTGATGAACATTATTTTCTGCTAGATCTCTTTATTTTTAAATTCATACCACTTTTTGTAGATACAAGTAGATGAAATGGTAAATGGTTTCGTTACGTTAGGTTCTTTTTGTACTACTTGAATACACTTAAACAAATTGAGTTCTAATTAGAACTCCTCCATGGTGAAATTACAAGTTGAATTAGTTTTCTTTTACTGATTTTACATCTTTCTGAGAGATTCTGTTAGATGATATCACCCTGCCCTTATCTTTTGAGTGTTGTTAACTCACCTCTTCAGTTTTTTTGTTTCATTCAAGTGAATTATTCATCAGTTTACATTGTACCTTAATGAATTTACTACTAATTTACTAGCATCAACTGAATAATTCATAAATGCGCTGTCCTAATTGATTAGAAAACTGTACTCTTGGTTATCTAATCTTATCTGAATTAGTCAGTTTCGATTGTCGATTAAAGTATAGCTTGTCTGCTGTATCAATTAATACTTCATGATAAGCGGATTTCAGGTGCACATTGTATTCAGTAGGAATGAACACTAACCGAAGTGGATAGAGAATGTAACACGCACACCAAATCACCGTTTACACAACATTCAATGTTAGCTAGAGTACAGCAAATTTGAAAAGAGGATTAGGGTCGTTAGTCCAAGATATCGGCCAGCACATAGGAGTAGACATGAAGTTTATTACTTTCCAGTGACCAATCAGTGTATATAATCCAGTCCTACAGAACGTCAGTTACGGCCCAAATAGCTTAGTAATAAGGTCACTGACTACAACAATGGGTGATGCGGGTTCAAGTCTCAGGCGGGACATGAGTTCTGTCGAAGTTGAAGATACTCCTTGCTGATGGGTGCCAAGAAGCATGGAACCGAGGCCCAGGGCTTCCTGCCGACTGCCTTCATCCAACTAACACATCAGGTCTATGCATAAGGTCGGTGGCTTCGGGAATATACCACTCAGGTCTATGAAATGCTGCTGAACATCGGACAATAAAGTATATCACAAAGATTTCAATAGTATGTAAACATCAAACTTTAAATTCTTTGAAATGTTGTGTATTTCATTAACGGTCATTCATTTATGTTTTCTCCTACTATCTCCTTTTATACACTCCTAAACTTTATATATATATATATATATATATATATATATATATATATATATATATATATGTTTATGATGTAAAACGGCTTAAAACCGCTCCATGTCATCATACTTGTCAGTCTTTCTGAGGAATAAACAAGGCAAAAAAGTAACTTAACTGGATGTACCTGCACCCAAGTGAGGACGAAACGCATGTCCTAGATTCCTCTGTTAGCCATAACTAAATAAAAAGGTAGACTGCCTACTTTCAGAGGAATGGAGATAGCTGACCAATGTGGGCTAGTCACAAAATACAATTGGTCTGAGTGAAACGATGCGAAACCTCTCGCAATGGTGACTGAAATCAGGTTGTCTACTCCACAATAGTACCGAAAGAAGGAGCCAACAACAGTAACAGGGAATGATAACAAAGCAAAAGAATATAAGAAGCGAGAAATCAAACAGACAAAAGCTTATAACATGTTCAGACTTTTTAGAAGGAAAGAGTGTACATAAATCTGCATTAGTGCGGTTGATTTCAACTTATGTTCTTGTTATTTATTGACACTTGTAATCTCTAGGAAAAGACAAGACATGGTTGGGGCGAAGAAAAATTTTTTCTTTTCGACGGAGTCATTTACTAGGCTGTCATAGTGGGTAAAACGTTCCAGAATTATTTCCTGTTAGGGGGCAAAATATATTGAATAATTAAATGAAGTTAATTAATACACACTTGGGTTTAGAGTGGGAAAATAGACAAGAGATTATGAGATTAGATGTAATTATGCAATACAGGTTAAATCTATGACAGGGCAGGAAATACAGGATGAATCTATGGCAGACAAGGCTTTATGATAGCCATGGAGAAGATAAAGGTTGAACATACCTTTTTTGGACGCGTAAGGCTGGTTTGAACTCCTGAATGGCTAGTACTTCGGATATAGACAAATGCCTTGCTCTTACTCTCTTCGAGTGATTTGATCAAACCCTGTAAAGAGTCTTGAATGATCTCTCAAAAAGAGCTAAGTGACCATAGTTCATGAGGTGTTCTGTTACACTTCCGTTCTCCCTTTGCCAGCCAGGCTGGGTAGTGTTCACGGGCACGTGTTGGATTTAGGAGTGAATCTGTAGGGAAACCTGAACCAAGATTTCATGTTTGTTAGTACTCGTTAACAAGATGAACTGATGTCATTGAGTTTCATAGTCATTAATGCGATCATTGTGCCGATTCCATAAAAAATCACGATAATATATGCCAACCGACTGCCGAATTTTACCCAATATCATGCCTGCCTGTAAAATATCGACAAATGTTTCTTGTTGTTTAGACTTCCATGTGTGACTGTTAGGATTTTGTCAGCTAGCTAGATGACTTTGTAAATACTGAATTCAAATATAATGTTTCGGCACTCATCAAAACTATTCCTATCATAAATCTGACCAACTCAGTTTCAACTCTTTTGTAGTTGAAATTATTCATCCAAAATAGCTCTATTATATAATTCTGTCAGCATAGAGGTAAGCCTTGGTGATCAGCATCTCATACTCACTTGTACGTGTTCTAATTTATTCCTTTCACTTTATCAGCTCGTCAATAATCCGCACATATTACTACCGAGGAGTGATAACATAAAAAATTTAGTAATAGGTGTATAAATCATCATCACCAGATAAGCTGTTAAAACACATACATATAATTTGGTTCATTTTCTTCGCAAGTTAATCCTAGATAGACTAATCTGTCCACAATGTTTCTTCGTTTCAGATAAAATTGCAACTGGTTCATTCGATAAAACTGCTCGATTATGGAGCGCCGAAACTGGTGAATGTCATTATATATTTCAAGGTCATACGGCAGAAGTTGTTTGCATACAGTTCAATCCAACTAGTAATATTATTGCTACAGGTAAATCATAGAAGTGGAATAAATCAAAGAGATGCGTTTCACAGCATACTGTTAATTTCTGTCATCAATTTTACGGTGCCTCATAAAGGTTAATGTCACTAACAGTGCTAAAACATTTGTAAAACACGTCGATCTACTTTTGTGTTGTAAAGTAGTATATCTATAAAACCTAAATGTATGGATGCACCTCATTCTATTTGTGTGTTATCATGTTACTCACTAAAGTAAATAGGCATAATACAAAGGTAAGTAGAATAAATAAGGTTTGCGGAGTTGTAGAGATTTAAAGTGGGTACACATCTGTACTACAGTAATTAACTATGAGAGTTGTCACCTATGGTCTCCAACCACCGACTTCCAATATCTTGATGGCTTTAACTAGAGTCCGTATTTCTTCCTATTGCTTACACAAACGGTAAATCAACTTATGGTCTGGTACTATGTGTTATTAAACTAACATAATCTCTCAGAAGCATCGTATTTTGTGTTGACTGATGACCAGAAATGATTAGAACCTCTCAGTTACCTCCTCATGATATTTGCCTTTGAAGGTCCTATATCAGCTTCAGAAAACAATAGCAGATAGCTGCATAGGTTATATGATACATTTTAAAGTGGTATCTTCTTGGTGCTTGACTTGTTTGTTGACAAACATCTGAATATTAGTGTGTAAAACCTCATCAATCAAATAAAACTGAGCCTCTACACAACTCATCAACATCTTCAAGAAAACACTATGATGAAGTTGAAAATGGTTGTACAAACTGGGAAGAAAAGATTGTTTTGTCTCATATCTTCTACTCAGTGTCTTGGTAATCTTGATCCTAAACAAAATGGTAAAAAGTGTTCCAGTGATAATAGAATGTTGAAGAATATTGCTAGAATATCAGATTGATGATATGGTTGACAGAAATTAGATGGTTCATGAAGTTAAATGAATTAGCTAGTTAATGATTTTCATTAACTTTTATTTACTTATTAATAATATGTAAAATAAGCCTTTTTGGTCAATTGTTCTATTTTCTGATATCTACTTAGTTGGACTATTGCGGTTATCACTAAACGGTATGGAATTATCTTTATTATTATTTGTCCCTTGGGTCCCTAGTGGAACAATGGGCTTCAGTAGAACGTCGCCATTTCACTCTCTTCTCTGCAGTCTTCTCAACCTGCTTCCAAAACTGCCCAAAAGCTTTTATTTCTTCTCCATATGATCTTTTCCATGTCACCCTCGGACGCTCAACTCGTCGTTCTCCATCTCGGTCCCACTCGACGGTCTGGCCTGACGCGTGATGTTCCCAAACGATCTTCTCAGTGTGTCCATTCCATCCCCACTTTCTTCTGCATATTTGTTGGTTGGTTCATTGCTAGACCAGAGTTCCTTGTTACTTATTCTTTCCGGCCATCTGATCTAATCTCCAGTATCAAGTGAGTGTAGGCGGCAGCTGTTCATGTATGTCTGTAGCTCGTTGAAAATGCTTTTCGTGACGCGCCAAGTCTCTCAACCAACACATGGAAGCACTGACTTGACTGACATTAGTGTTCAAAATTCATATCTTGTTCACGCTTTATGCTGATTGCAGTGTAGTGTAGTGCAGTATATCTCCACACTGATTTCAAATTAATGAAGGTCTTTCTTTCTGGCTTTTCGATCCTAACTTTGACATCCTCATGTGTGCCACCGCCGTCTGTAGTCGAAACGATGCTGCTTAGGTAGGTGAAAGAGACAACTGCCTTCAGGTTTCTTCCGTTGATGGTGCTTGTTGTTGCTGTTATTGTTGTTGATTAGGTATCTTCATCACCTCCGTCTTCTCTATGTTCACATGAAGGAAGTCCCATCTTCGCTGCCTCTCCTACCAGCTTGTTAGTTTTCGCTTGTAGATCTTCGAGTTTGTGCGACAAGACATTACACAAAAACTATCAGCGGTGAAATCCAAATCTTCTAGGGTCTTTTCATCAGTCCAGTCAGCGTATGCCAATCTTCTCACTCCAAAGAGTTCCTTGCATGATCCAATCCAGTCCAGTCGACCACAGTCAGGAAGATGATGGGTGATAGCAGGCAGCAACCTTGTCTTACTCCTGTCTTCACTTCAAAGACATCACTGAGCTGAGCTTTCTATTGTGAATCACTTGGCATGTGGCATCATGTAGCATAGCATATAGCTGTTGAATGAGGTTGATAAAGGTTTATGGCACTAAAACCGTAGTGTTGAAGCAGCAGTTGCCAAATTATTTGTCGGTCGACTCTGTGAAGGGCCTTTTCAAAGTCGATGAAGTTGAGGTAAAGATCCAGTTGACTGTCATTCTGTGTTCTGTTCTATGATAATGCTCAGCGTAGCGTTGTAATTTGACACATACATGATTTGTTTTTCCTGAATCCAGCCAGCCATCCTGTTTTGGTCATAATTTTGAATCCAGATCATTTTTTAGTCTCTACAGAATTGTGCGGCATAATATTCTGCTTGGGATGGACAGGTATGGAGCATGATTCCGCGCCAGTTCTTGCAAAGGCTTACGTTTCCCTTCTTTGGGAGTTTGACAAGGTAGTACTTCTTCCAATCAACCGGCAGGTACCTTTCCTTCCTTCCAAACCTTCTGCAGTAGTGGTGTGAGCATGTCCGCTCATGTCTCTGAACGGTATAATATTACAATAAACTTGTTCTTGGACATTCATAAGATTCATTAACTCCAGTGACGTTTTAGTCCATAGTTATGAATATATTCTGAAAAGTATTCATTAAATGCTCTCTATACTATAATTGATTTCAGGTAGTATGGATACTCTTGCAAAGTTATGGGATGTAGAAACTGGTAACGAATTAATCAGTTTGAATGGTCACACTGCAGAAGTGATTGCCCTACAGTTCTCTCAGTGTACTTCAGTTACAACTTATGGAATGTCAAGTGGAGATAATGGTCCTTATGCAGACTCTATATGTGGTGCAGGCAATGGTCGTTTAATATTAACTGGAAGCTTTGATCATACTGTCTGTTTATGGGATGTAAGAACTGGTGAACGAACACATCATTTAATTGGACATGCTGCTGAAGTTTCTTCTGCTTCATTCACTTATGACACGTGTTTTGTTGCAACAGCTTCAATGGATAAAACTGTTCGAGTAAGTATGTAATCATAATCCTTTTTAAAATAAATGCTGTTGCAATCAGTTTGACTATCTGAGATGTAGCTGTGGTTTGGAAAACTTGTACTAGTGCTACTGGGTGATGACTGAAGATGAAGTGAAAGTCTGTGTTGCGTTAGGATTCAGATCAGTGGCCTCTAGATTACTGGTCTGGTTTTCTACGAAATGAGCAAATAGACTCACCTGCTCACCACATCTAAATTTCACGTCAGTCCCCAAGGGTTTTGTCTAACTAACATATAGATTTGTGATGCGTAACTGTCCGTTCATCGTACTCACAGTGGCTGTCCAGTAAGGTCTTGTTATACCAATCCAAATTGAACTGAATTGGAGAGATTGAAGTCAAATTAAGATATGATAAGCAGCTGAGACTCGTAGCTCAGTTGGTAAAGCACTTGGAGGCCACCGACCTGTTCGAATCCTACCGCAAATCAGATTTTCATTTCACCTTCAATCATCATGCAGTATCAGATGCTGTTATTCTGAAACATAATTGACAGATGTCCTTTAGTTACATCAACAACAACATCGATAAAGCTTTCCTTATATTTGGAGCCATTTTCTATCCTACTTTTTGCCATATGAATAAGTTTAACGGCTTTACAAGTTGATATTCATCATGGACTGACATCAGTTGGAGGAACACTGGATGACTTTTTTGTAATAGGATGGGACTCCTTAGCAGCGCGTACCCACGACCCCACCTCACCAGGGATCGAATTCTGGATCTTCAGGTTCCGTAGCTAGCACGTTACCATTGAGCCACTGGGTAGGAATTGAATGGTCCATATTTCCAACTTCTGTTAGTTCAATCTGGGGATTTGTGGGGATTTATTGATTTCATCATGATGATGAATACCATCAAGATGAATACCAACTTGAAATCAGTAAATCCCCACAAACCCCTAAAATGAATTATTCTAGTGCTCATTGGTGACTAGTTTAGAGAGATGATTCCCGAAGTTCCAATGAGAAGTCGTGACCAGTGGGACGAACCTGATGAACGTTAGAATAAATAATCAACGATGATACTGAGTGATGGTGGCGCTATGTCGTGAACTGACAGAAGCTAGAATTATGAACCACTTGATTCCGACCCGGTGGCTGAGTAGTAATGTGCTGGTTGAGGAACTTGAAGGTGCTGAGTTCAATCCCTGGTGAGGCGATGTCATGGGTGCACAGGGCTGAGGTGTCACGTACTGAGAGAGAACAGCTGCCCAGTGCTTCCAAGTTCCTAATGTTCCTCTAACTGATACCAGTCCATGTTGAATACTAACCTGGAATCAATAAGCCTCTACAAACCTCCCCCCCCCCCCCGCCAAATTAAACTGACTACTTTTATTACAACTTTTCAGAAAACACATCAAATCCTACTCATAAAAGGGAGAATTTGAGTGGAAAAGTAAACTTATTAGAACGGATATTGCTGTTCAGTGCTAAGGCTCAATTATGAATGACAATTACATGTTTGATTAATCGAATGCTAAAAGCATTATTTGCAAGTGATCAGTGAAGTGTTATTTTTCGAAATAAACCAAAATGTTTAACTAAAGACAAGTGATGAATAGAAAAATTCAGAGATATCACATAGTATACATATCAACAGTGAATAGTCCCTTTTTTTAAAGCCTTAGTATCAAAAATACTGCTGTTTGCTCATTATTTATCCCTGAAAGTAGTCAACTTACTTTTAGAGGTTGGCATTTTGACTCATTTTCCCAGTCAGCTCTAGAAATTCTACTGTGCCATCCAAACAGTTTTTTTATGTGATGATTAGATCGATTTGTAAGAACTGGAACCAGTTCCAATGCCATTCAATAGTCCAAAAGACAGAATATGATAAGCCTGAACTACATACTATACATGTAAAGCTGTAATTTTCATTGTCAATGAGATTATTCTAGTCTGAATGTAGAAATTCTCATCCTTTCAGTAGACAAATAAATAAGCTTCATTTACATCAAATAACATCCTTTATGCTAAGTATATGTTATTGTACTCTGATGCTTGAACAGAGAGTCATAGCCAAAAACCTTTACAAATACTTTCATGTATGAGCGCTAGAACACTTGATTGCTCATAAGAGTCTGTCTTCCTAGCACACTGCCATTTTTAACTCTAGGTATTTCACCTGGTGCGCGCAGCTGAGGAGTCCCATAGCAGGATGGAACAGCTGTCCAGTGTTCCCAGGTTTTCAGCGGTTTTCTAACTGATATCCGTCCATGATGAATATCAAAGTGAAAGCATAAACTACCAGCTAGATATAAATGATTATATCTGATTAAAATCGCCAACACCAATCAGAGGTAATGTCTCTGGCTACAAAATTGAGTGATGAAGATTCGAATCACTCAGGGGATATCATTCCCGTCATGCTTGAAGATACGCCTTGTTGAGGAGTGCTAACAAGCATGAAACTTAGGTCAAGAAGGCCTTGTTGTCAACTGCCCTCCTATCATTATTTCCCAAAACAAATTGCTTAACTCTAGTTCAGCTTTCCGCTTCAGTTCATTCAGTTAACCAGTCCAAGACACCTTATCCATGCATTTCCAATCGTTATGCGAAAGAAAATACCCTTAAAACAAACTTGAAAAAGCTATCAAAATTAGAATTTGGATTTTTACACATGATAAATTTCTTTTCAGTATTCTATTAGCTTCATCATCAAACAGTTTCTATTCTAAGGAATTAGTTACCTAATGAAACCTAACTGTTGTTAAACTACTAAAAAAATTGAAATCACAGATGTATGCAGTGTAAAATCCTTAAGTCAGTTATTTAATTATTACTACTGTGGCATCAAGCAAACAGTGCTCAGTGACGAGACGCTTTTCAGACATTAGCATATGTCTGATATTTGAAAAACTATATCCGCTGAGGAAATCTAAATATGAATGATAACAAAGTAGATTATGTAATATATATCGAAGTGTTCATGCTGTGTATGTTACAGGATCAAACAAGTTGGTTAAAATGAGATTAGTGTATTTTTTAAAATATATTAATGATGGATGATGACTAGCAGTGAAATCCAGGACGTGTGTTTCGTCCCATTTGAGACCCGTTAGCCAGATATACCTGCCTCTCAGTGAGCGATGTTGTTCCCATTGGGACTAGAACTCGGGACTGATCACTTCAAACGCCAGAGCGTTATCCACCAGACCACTGAGCCATAATATTCACTTCTTGTGCGAAGATTATAGTTTTAATGTTGTTGCTTGTATTATCGCGTCACTGAGTGTACCAAAGTGATCGGTATTTTTTTGTATATGGGCTACTGCTTATCTCAGTTATATATTATTGATGGGTAGCGACTAGAACTGGAATCCAGGATGCGCATTTTGCCCTATCTGGGACTTGTCAGCTGAATATACCTGCCTCCCAGCGAGCTATATTGTTCTCACCGGGACTCGAACTCGGGAGAGGGGAGAGGTTAAGTGGAGATTAGGCATAATAACATCGAAAATTATTCAAAGTGAAGGTAATAATGACGCTACCTTCGAATAAATCCCTAAAATCTTCAAGCTAAATTACTCTCCAGTGTTCAGAAATGACAAGGTGAACATCTAGAAAAGTCGAAACCTATGAGGTCAATCCAGTTGGAAATGAAGCGAATACCGACTGAAGACTTTGAATGATAGTCACACTATATCACGAACTGGCACGAGTAAGCAACTGTTAACCAATCGACTCCAACCCAGTTGCTTGGAGGTCCTGGGTCCGACCTCTGGAGGGGTCGCAGTTGTCCTCTGCTGAGGAGTCCCATACTATGACAAAAGAGATGTCTAGTGCTTCTCGGTTTCCAGCGAGTCTGCAACTAATATCAGCCCATGATGAATACTACCTTGAAGTGTTCAGTTTGAGAATAAATTCATTGGAATAAATCTCTTCTTCAGAAATCCTTTTTTAAATTAATGCCTAATTTCCACTTATATACAAATTTATAAACCAATCTAGATATGGGATACTAGAACGGGTCGTCAATTGCACCTACTTACTGGTCATCAAGATGAAGTATTAGATGTAACATTTGATCCTAGTGGGCGACGTTTAGCCAGTGCTAGTGCAGATGGTACTGCTCGAGTATGGCATATTGGTATGAGTGGAGAAACAAAAAGTGCCAAATTTTTGTCTACACTTATAGGTCATGAAGGCGAGGTCAGCAAGGTAAGTTTGAATCTACTACTATTATAGTTTCTGCATACAGATACAGTTAATTCTATGTGTACTTTTGATCCTTTAAGCTTTGAACTTCAATAGTAAGAATTTACAAAATGCGTTTAACCAGAGTGTTGATAAACAAATTAACATATTAAATTCATGATAATTGTTTTATCAAATGTTCCCATTGAAGATGAAATTGAATCATATTCAACTTTTCATGCATCATTCACTTGGTCGATGTGTGAGTTACTGATCATTTTGAAGATACTACTAATCTAAAAGTGATATGACTTTGAGAAGTAGTAAAACTCATGAGACAAGGCATAGTTATCTAACTCCAATTTAGAATCTTCAAGAATCATGGTGACCATATCATCATCTGTCATCATTTTACGATACAGTATGATGATTATTTGATATAATCCATTACCAGTTCCAACTTATTTGATCCCTATAGTTCAAGGTTTTAACTAGAACTCCTAAAAATGCGTCTTATAATGTGCTACTGGTAAACACTAGATAATTTGTTGCTTAATCGCAGAGGAACATTACAAGTATCAGTGAATAATGATAATAACTGGTGCTCGTTGCACGAGAGGTGGCTATCATGCCCCCATTGACCTGGTGGATAAAACTTTGATGTTTGAAGTGATAGGTACTTGATTCGAGTCCCAGTGGGAACTGACTGAAGTGCAGGTAGGTTCGGTTGACGAGACTTAAATAGGACGAAACGTGGGTGCTGGACTCAAGTGCTATCCACAACCAGGCATATCACAACATAATGAGAAGTTCACTTTGTTTTAAGTTAATCTTGCCAAAATGAGTATGACTGGTCCTTCAACAATCGAAATTATTAATGATGATATCAATATTTGATGAGTGTTAAGCGCAGTGATCGTCAGCATCAGTGGTTGATAAAAGAAACTATCAATTCCACTTCTGTTTGCCTTAACCTTGTCATCTAAACATAATTGTTTCAGTAATGAAAATTGTGTTCACCATTTCTATTGTTAAGGTGTTTTCCACTTTAACCTTATTAACAATAATACCTCTATTCCAAGCACGACTTGTGGTACAGTGTGGAATTCTCAGCCTGTAATAGTTCAACAAATTCATTCCCTGTACAATACCTTCAAGTGAAATAATCATTGCATTTGAATAATGTTAATAATAACAGTAATAAAGGCTACAATATGAAACAGGCACCTGGTATTACATTAGCGTCCAGTTTGGACCACTGAATGAATAGAATATCGAAAGTTATTTTGGTGGTGGTAGTTTATTCAGCCAGTACCAAAATCTGCAATTCAATACAGTCCGCCAAAGAATAGTAATATACTATATTTCTTTGCATTTATAAGCACATCTCTTACGGGTGTATCGTTTTTTCTTTGTTTTGCTTGAAAAAACAGCAGTTTGAAAGCATTTTAAAAGTGTGTAAGAGTACTAGCTGCGTTTGGAAAACATATTTATAAGATTAAAACAAACTTCAAGGTATGGATTTAAGGAAACGAATTCTGTGAAAAATTTTCGGTACCTCAGTTCGTAGTGTAAGCCCATGGTCATAGTTAAGCCTGATTCTAACTGCTTCCAGAGCTATACCAATCGGTATATCAATATACAAACTAACCATTTTTTTCATCGTCATCTAAATGTATATCACCTAATCTGTGTTTCAGGTCATAAGAGTTGGTAAATCCTGATTTAGAACGGTTTCTAATTGGACATAGTACGATTGCTAAATATTCAGATAAGTCATGAGTAGGAGTGTTTCTAAAGTCTATTGTGGGTCTAATAGGATAACCTGGCTTAAAAATTTTAATCGTACCATAAATCTTACTAGGATTATTAGTTTTCGGCATTGAATCGAACAAAATCATTTCCAGTCACCTAGAGACGACTTCGTTCAAAGGATTAGATCCACCGTGGTTTTGTTAACTTTATTCATAATAGCATCCATTGGTTTCTTAGCTTCTTCGTATGGTCCTATTTCTGTATGCTCCTTGACTTCCTGAACATAATCAGGCTTGTTTAACAGTACTGTTGAGTTGCCTTTGTCTGATTTAATAGTTACTATATTGTTATCATTTCAAAAGTTCCTCAAAGCTCCTTTTTCTGCTTTTGGTAAGTTCGGTTCTGTCTTCTTCTGTCGCCTAAGTGTAAAGCTCTCCAGCACTTAAGCTACAGTGAAACTTTCGGTAGCCTAAAGTTTAAACAGGCTGTCAGAAATTTAGTTGTATTCGCTGTTAAACACTGTTTTTTGAATTTAACCTCTATTCTTTAACTACAATACTTTCTGTAGAACTGTATTCTTGAAATGAATGGGGATTTTAATTTAAAGGTATTATTCATCATGGGCTGACATAGGTTGATGAACTATTGAAAATCTGGGAGCACTGGACAGCTGTTTCATCCTAGTATGGGACTCCTCATCAGTAAGCACCCATGACCCGGCTGGGGGTAGAACCCAGGACCATCATGTTTTACGGTCAGTCCGTGATAAGCAAGTTAAAATCCTCATTTATCTCAAAAATACATCATTGTTTAGTGCTCATTAATAACGTGCTCCTAGATGGATATCACGTAGTTCTAATGAGAAGTCATGACCTGTACGATCAGCCAGTCGGAAGAGAAGCGGTTACCAACTGAATACCTTGGGTGATAGTCGCGCTATATTGTGAATTGATAGAAGTTGGAAACTGTGAGCCACTGGATCGAGACCCAGTTGCTGAATGGTCAACGCGTTCTCCATGAGACCTGAAGGTCCTGACTTCGATCCCTGGCGGGGTCGTGGTTGTGTACTGTTGAGGACCCCCACACCAGCAAGAAACAGCTGTGCAGTGCTCCTAGATCTTCGACAGTCCCCCAACTGATATCACTTAGTGATGGGTACGTTCTACAGAAGCCCATAATGATTAGAAAAATCCCCATGTTTTCTTACTAGGTAGCCCACAGAAAGTTATTCAACCCTAAAAGTTAAATGTTCCCTGAAAGATGAGATACTGACATTTGGCACTTGTAGGTGATAAGAAATTTTTTAGTATTTTCCATGAACTTTGTAAGCAATGATAAAAGTTTACAAACTTGGTGGGTGATTTCCATCAACTGAAGAGACCTGGCAACACTTTAAAGTTTGAAACCTTACACAATGTGAATAAGTACGCACTAAAACTCTCGCTATGCATCAGTAACAATACTAATTACTGTTGACATGAGATTTAAAATGCAGGACCTGAAAGAATACCCCTTGAGGTAAATGTAACATGCATAGGGAAAGTACCAAGCAGATAGAAAATACTAACTTCTAATTCCCAGCGTGGACGTTTAGGGGGGATCGATTAATTTCAAAGTAGTATTGATCACGAACTGAAAGCAGTTGGAGAGCCGTCGAGTCATAGCAGCTCTGGATAACTGTTTCGTACTAGTATTGGATTCCTTAGCAGGGCATCTCAACTACCTCACCTGGAGTCGAACCCAGGACCTTCAGGTCTTGTAGGCTGACTCCAGCGGTCATGAATTCTCACTACGAATTTGGGAAGTCTCATTTCAAAGTAAGTCACTTAGTAATGAACACTGGACAATAATTCAGTTTGGAAGTTTGTAAGGATTTATTGATTTCAGGGTAATTTTTATGACCTTAGAGAAGTAAGAAACTCCATAATGGGACGAAACAGCTTTTCAGTGCTCCCAGGTTCCCATTGGTTCTACAACTAATCTCAGCTCTTGGTGACTAACTCCCAAGTAATCATACAAATTTGAAGGAGTATGACATGGAAAACTCAGCATCTTAGTCCAATTATTATTTGGAAGTCCATTCTAAAACTGATTGACAGCTGCCCTATCATTGTTTGCAACTCCTTAGTGGTGGTAAACTCTTCAATTTCATAGGGAATGCAATCCAGAACTGATGGTTTCAAGTAGGCTATGTGCGAGGTGGCTAGTAGTGGAGTCCCGGACATACGTTTCATTATATTTGGGACCTAGCTGGATGTATCTGCACGCCAGTGAATGATATTGTTCTCACTGAGACTCGAGTCGGATACCCACCACTTCAATTGCCAATGCGTTATCCACCAGGACACGAGAGCACGAGAAGGAAAAATATCTAAACTTTCGAAAGACACTGCTAATGAACAACTTGAGTAGTTAGTAATTCAGGCTGATTTGTAGGTTTCGCCAGCTTGATCAGGATGGTCTTTAAACTTTCACTAGAGTTCGATAACATAATAACACTTTCTGAAATAGTCAAAATACTATGAAATATTTGCTCATTTTGCGATCTTTAGTTTCTTTCTTTATAATCATTATTACCATTATTTTCTCAGGTATGTTTCAATTCACGAGGTAGTCTAGTAATGACAGCGAGTGCAGATAAAACAGCTCGTCTATGGGATTCAGAAACTGGTGAGCTGAAAGACATCCTATCAGGGCATACAGATGAAGTGTTCAGTTGTGCATTCAACTATGAAAGTGATACAATCATTACTGGATCGAAGGACAATACATGTCGTATATGGAAGTAGTAATAATAATAACTATTGAAACACTCATGAATGAAATCGCTTTCCTCACCCTAACTTTGTTCTGTGATCACCTTAATTCCACTAGAAAGCATAAACGAGGATGATAATAATAATAATCTCATAGAAATGCTTTTTTTATGTGTTTGCATTTTCACGACTACCTCGGTGTCATGTTGGTTATTTTAACTCATATCACTACTTATTCATTCATGTCTTCATCTTACTGTAGAACAACTCGTACTGTAACAACTGCTGATATTACTACCCTTATTGTCCATATAAATATTAGAATTATAACAAACGTAATCGTAAATACGATTATAATAATAATAATAATAATAATAATAATAATAATAATAATAATAGTGGGCTGATGAAAGCATGTTTCGATGAACATATTTTATTAATGTATGCATGAAAATAAACATTTAAATATATAGGTTTATTCAGGCATTAATGTTTCACATTCAAATCTACAATAAACGTTTCCATTAAGATATAAGATAGTCGGCAGGAATTATTTACATCATACAAATGGGTGTTAATATTTTTGCCACCCCCTTTAAGTGCCGAACTTGATACATATTAATTTAACCACTAGTTGATGAATAAAATTCATTACTTCCACTTTGTGTAGCAGATTATCTTTGTCACAAAGGCCTTCTGTAATCATAATTCCGACTTCAATAATCTGAATTCATTAATCTATACTGATTCTTTCTGTGGGCAAATGATGTTCAAGGCAACTCATATTGCTAACATACTAGACAAAGTGGTTAGAAGGCTAAAATAGTAACTCTGATAGATAAGTAGACTGATAGAAGTGAATAACAACACAGGACCTAGTGTTCAAAATTAAGAAGACTGTGAATATATCTTGTGGAAAACATTTGACTCTGAACTGGATCACTTAATAAGTTACATAATCATTGGTTTTGTTTGTCTCGCGCAGACCAACAGTTGGTAATTTTACGGGGAGTTATCATATTTGGATCTGATCAATCTGTGGCTTTTCGATTCTCTTTCTACTTCAAATAGAATTACTAGTTGAGAAAAGTGGTTGTGTAGCACATATGCTATCTGTACTGGTCGATTGTGCTTGACAATACTATCAGCTGATTTACCTCACTTACAGAGTACTCTCCACCGTCGCTGATTTGATGTTTCAACGCTATAACAGTGATAATTTTTATCTATAAATGGTCAAATACATGTGACTTTCACTCCATCATGTTTTAATCCATTAAGTTGAATAGGATAGATTACTGTATTGTACACTCAATATTTCTTGGAGGAAAAGATGTGTTTCATGCATGATGCACACCTCTAACTGATAAATGCTAAACAAAGCTGTTGTACCCTAACCGAGAATCGATTCATAACTAGGATGCCCAACTGGATACAACAACTCTATGGGTGAGTGAGGATGATACCGTAAATTACCACTTCATTTCCAGTTGTCAACTAAATATCAACTTGATTCTTATACCAGTAATTTGAATACTTCAGACTAGTCGGTATGTGTTGTATTGGGTTATGAATAGCTGCAGTTGGATAAATTATCAAACTTTACTTAGATTACGAAATATATGCATCAAGGCATAGAGAAAAGAAGGAATAATTCAGAGAAGAAGGCTTCCTTTTTCGACAATATCATTTTCTAAAGTTGTACAATAGTATTTATATATATCATAAACACATAACAGCCGATTACTAAATAATAGTGTATAATTGCATTATTAAGCTAGTGGGGTCACCACTTGGACCGCTACTGGCTGCCTGCTTTATGGCAAACCTAGAAAATAGTGTATTTCATCCAACTATTGATAGTTTCTACCTATATAAAAGATATATGGATGATACATTCATCATATGTGATCAAAATACAGATATCGGGATCGAAGTTAAGAAGTTTAATGATTGCCACCCATCGATCAACGTCACATCAGAATTCGAAGAGAACTCAGAATTCCATTTTCTCCATGTCTTATTGAAATGGAGACCAGATAGCTCTCCTCAGAGATCAACTTATAGGAATCCTACATGGAATGGGCAATATTCGAATTTCCATAGCTGGATGCCTCCTAGCATAAAAAGGAATCTGGTCCATTCTGTATCTTAAAGAATCAGAAGGATCTGCACGACAATGCATTAGACAAACTATGGAAGATTCTCATACAAAATGGATACCCATCCAGATTTATTGAGAACTTGAAATAAAAACAGAATACAGAGCAATTACTGAGTTTTAAAGAAGACGTTGTCTATGAACGTTGGTTTCAAAGGTGATATGGAAGCAGGGATCCTGAAGAATCAGCTGTTCATATCGCTGAAGAAGACGTTCTTTGTGAAGTTACAGATCAGTTTTTCTAGTTAGCAATTGGTTCCCAGAGTGCGTTAAAAGAACAAGTTGGCGTATTGGGCCACCTCAATGTGTGTCTACAAATTTAATTGCTCCTATGGAGCTAGTTGTATAGGCCGCACTTTGCGCACACTTTCCAAACGTTTCCCTGAGCACTATCCTGCACTGCCGTTGAGGCGGGATACAAAGCAATTAACAATTCAGTTCTCGAATATTTGGTCAACTTTGGACATATAGCTCGATCAGAGTCCTTCTTCAGTGCCATTTATAGAATCAAATGGAATATTTCAGAAACGATACGCTTTCGACAGTTGTGCACAACAGAAGCATTGACAACTCATCAATACAAACCTGATCTCTTTGTGCAAAAGAAGTATGTTTAATCTCTTATCTTACCATGGTCTTAACACTCACACCTTTTGATTTCATCATAGTTAGTTAGTTGGCATATGGATGCGGATGCCTCGATATTGCCTGAATATTTATTATGACGATTTATCTGGTTGTGGCCAACACAGGTCGAACAATTCGACCCAGTATAACAACAGAGAATTAAAAGTATATCAAAAGACAGTAATAACTAATACCGTTGCGCAATAGGCGTCTATCGTGGATATAGTGGATAACGCTTTAGCGTTTGAAGTGGTGCGTACCTGGTTCGAGTCACAGTGGGAACAACATTACTCAGTGAGGTGCATGTACGTCCAACTGATGAGTCCCAAACCGAACGAAATGTGCTTCCTGGATTCTTCTGCTAGCCACAACCAAGTAAGTCATTCTAGAGATTGTCTCTGTGATTTACCCACGGTGAATAATTTTATCAGTTAGTAAGTTTATATTTTTCACAACACGTTCATTTTTCATCTTAACATTGTTAGCTTAAAAACTACTTATTCATCTGTTCGCTCATGTGACCAAGTTTATTCAACCTTCTAATACAGATTGTTTCAGCAATAATTCATTTTCATTAATATCAAGGATTCATTGTACTGGTCTTCCTTCTCTTCAACTGAGTACAGGCTACTAAAGTCAGAAAATCTATATGAATAATAACATTCTTTGAAACTGTATAGTAAAGTGGTTATGAACAAGTAGTAAGCCTGTTTGCAAAGTATCACCAACAGATAGGATGGTTAGAGTTTTATGCACAGTTCTAGAAGTGTTGATAACAGATTCCATAGAGAGATGAACAAGAATATGACAGTAATAAGAAATGAATTTTAAAGTTTAGTCCAATCCAATGAAATGAAATCAGATTTCATGAAAATAAATAAAAGAAATAAGTGAGGTTGCTCACGTTATAACAAGTACTGATAAAGTTTAATTAGTGATGTATTACTTTAACTACTCATAAGTGGTATGATGTTTCCAGTATTATCCCTTTATTGATGGGACTGAATTGATCGGTGTCTATTGGCATATAGGCTCCTGAGTAGATGCGTTCATATTGCCTATAGTTTCAAGTTTGATGTTAATGATCATAGTCAGGTTTCTCGTAAATATACCAATCGTCAGTCGGATGTGGATTTAAACCTACTCATCTTAATGGAAAGCTTTAGAGAACATAAAGTCTACTTTTACCTGATAATTTGATATCAGCAAGAATTCAGATTCATAAAATTTTCAGTTGGTTCGAAACGATATTTTAGTTTCGTCATAGTGAAATATGTTCATCTTAGCCCTTATTCACTTACTAAGTGTGTATATTGTTCATGTGATAAATGGTATTGAAGGTGTGTCAGTTTATCTATGAACGTTCTCAGACTAAAGAATTTCAGACTATTATGAAGGAAAAACTAGATTCCTTTACTGCAGTATTGATAACGTAAAAGCGTACTTTAAGCAAGTATTCATCATAGACCGACATGTATTGTAGAACCACTGGAAACGGGAGCACTGAACAGCTTTTTTATCGTAGTATGGGACTCCTCAGAAATAATCATTAACGACTTCACCAGGGATTGAATTTAAAACCTTCAGGCCTTGCTGAGAATGTCATACCCAACCACCCATCCGATAGGAGTTGAATGGTCTTCAGTTTCCTACTTCTGTGGATTCACAATATAGCATGACTATCCACCAAGGACTTAACTTGGCCTCCGCTTCACTTCCTAGTGGTTGATCCCACAGGTTATGGCTTCTCATTAGAACTTCAGGATATCCATATCGAAGGATATTACTGATGAGTAGTGTGCAGAAAATCAACAATGGATATTATTTAGGGGTGAATAATACCTTAAAATATATCAGATCCTCATAAACCTCAAACTAAATTTTAACTGTACAGTTAGAGGAGTATTCATACATCGTGGTTATTCTGGTACCATTCGTTTCCGCTTTAAATAATAAACATCTCTATCATGTACATTATCTCAAATTTACAGTTGGATTACTTCCTTTATAGTCCCTGAATATACCTTAGGTTTCTGTAGCTGATGAGTATTAATAAAGACTCAGCTACTACTGCTTTTTAAAGGATGGCTATTTCAACATTTCATCTGAAGATTAATCACCTTGTGAAGCCACAATCAGTTTACAGTTTCATATTTCATAGTACTATCCTCTGTATTTCAAACTTACAATACAAATAACCGATGCTGATTATTTCAAAAGACAGAAAAACTGAAGTGATAACTTTCAAAGGTTCAGCAGTCATTAACAGATCACAAAGTGTAAAGGAAATCATATCAAGCAGACCACAGTGATCTGAATTCAATTAAAACTCTGACGTTATACAAAAAGGTGGAGTTAAAACTACTGACTAGGTAAACCTTTTTAGTGTATTTCAATGTTACTGCAAGTTGAAACGGACTTATAAAAATTACTAGTCTCCTATTAATTTCAGCCAGTGAATACCACAGTGTATCCAGGCTAATGGTGTTTTGTATTTAGTCATACAGAAGATAAACAGCTAAACAAAAACGACAATGAGAAGTGAAGATAGCTGACAAATACATTTGCTTTAGGTTGGTATTCATCATGAATTGACATTAGTTGGAAAAACACTGAAAACTTGCGGTAATTGGTTAACCACTCCGGCCTAATACAGGACTCCTCAGCAGCGCGCA